GAGTCCCGCTAAGGCGAAGACGCAAGCAGGCGGGGGGGCGCGGGGGAGGAACTTTCCCGTGCGCGCTCCCCCGGCCGTCGGCGCCGGCCCGCCCCGTCCGCCCTCCGCCGCCACCCGGCCGCCCTCCTGGGGCTCCCGCGGCGCGCCCGCTTGTTTTTCTTCCGCGCTCTCCCCGGCCTGCTTGCGTCTTCGCCTTAGCGGGACTCGGCGGCGCGGGGCCCCAGGGGGGGCGGCTCGGCAAACTCTCAGCGGCTCGCGATCGGCCGACCGGGCTGGGGAGCCGGCGTGGCGCTGCAGGGAGGCGGAGAGCAAGAGGGAGAAGGGGAGAGAGGAAGAGAGAGAGAGAGAGGAAGCGAGACACTAGATAAAAACAAAAAAGGAGGAGGGGGGGCGAGGGGGGACTAGGAGGGAGGGGAGGGGAGGGGAGGTCATTTCTGTCCTGAAAGGGCATGCACAGCCAGCGACGGCTAGGGTAACTGTACCCGGAATCCCTTGGGGAGGGACTCTACCTCCGAGTAAAGGCTGCTCCAATCAGCCTAATGAAACAGGATCACAAACCAAACTTTCTCAAAGCAGTGATTGGCCGGGCAACTCGCATCAGTCTAACGCCCAGCTTTTTCTTTGGGGGAGGGGGGGGAGGGGAAAAGGGGAACGGAGGAATCCGGGAATTCGGTCCTCACTCTCCATGGCCGCCCAAGACATAGGGTTGAGGGAAAAGGCGGGGGCTTTTCCGCTGGATGTCTTCTAAAAAAAGTGCTTTCTCTGAATTATTTGGGGGTGCAGGTAGGTGCACAGGAAAGCTGGGTGACAAAGGGTGACAGCAAGGTTCCCAGAGGCTGCTTCCAAAACGACAAGCTGAGAAGAGAGAACGTTTCTCCTGTGGAGTAAGCTGAGGCCAGCAGACACGACATACCAAAGAAGCACAGACAACAGGATGTGAGAGACATAGGACACACAGGACCAGTAAGGAAGAGGGACTGATCCCTCTAGATCTTGAGCGACCCTGTCCATACCATAGCCCCACCCCTCGCGCAAAAATCAAGTGAGAGGAGGGTGAGCACCCAGAAGGCAAAGCATTCAGCAAGGCCCCTGGGAGTTGCGTTCCTGGAGGATGTTTCAGTTCTGCTTCAACCTGCAAGGGGCATGGACTGGGTCACAAAAAGTCTAGGATATCCCCGGGTCATGGAACCTAAGAAAGTGAATCAGCCCTGATAGTGTCTGAAGATACGCTGACCCATTCACTCCCTAGACCCAGGTACCTACAGCCCTAAGACACTGGCCCTAAAGCTGATCCACTTTATTGGGGCACTCAGTAAACCAGCCCAGCTTCAACAACAGAGGCTTGTATGGTCCATTCTCCCTTCCAGCCCAGCACATATGCCTCTCCACTATTGGCCTCTCTGCAAAGTAGAGACAGTAGCTTTCAAGTAGACCAAAAGGAGCACAGACGAATGCACCGTTAAATCCACAAAGCGATTCACCTATTCTTCTCCGCCCCTGTCTATGAGTCCAAGATCCAGTGAGGAGCGGACACCCAGCTTCCCTACCAGGGTGAAGGTCTCGGGAACATGGCATGAGTGTCCCAAAGCTGAGGCAAAATCACATTCCCAAAGACTACAAGAACTCACCGCAAGAAAACACACCCCTGCAGTTCAGCAAGACACCACGCATGGTCTGACAACTGGCCACAGGTCCATGATGCCCGGGAATGACCCATGGAGGGGAGCTCAAGGCATCCAGACACCGCACCAGCTCCAAGAGGCCGGGAAACTGAGGGAAGTAAGTTTTCCCCTGGGCCAAAAAGCCAAGGCCGGGCCCACCTGTAAATGATGACTCCCCGGAACATCAGCTCGTCTTATTTCGGACTCCCCACATCCGGTCACTGGCTCACTCAAAGGTGGTTTGGAAGCAATCTATTTTAACTCCCGGACGTGGCATAGAAAGGAGAAACCCCCGCCCTCAGGTGTCAAGCCTGGCAAGGAACAAACACTTCCTCTGGCTCCAGGATTGCTGAGGAGTCTGGACAGCAACTTCAAACTTGGGGATCCGGAGTTCAGCCAAGGCGCCAGAGTTGCTCACTGCCTTGGACTTCCTCCAAGGACAAGTGCTTTGCAGGGGATCTGATAACTTCGCACTGCAAGGAACCTGCCTGTTGAGGGGCCTGCTGAAGTAAGAGACTGGGGTCTCAGGGAGGGCAGAAGGTACAACACCACCCCTCACTTGGAAGCCACACAAGACAAAACAAGCAAGCAAACAAAAACAGGAGGGATGGGGCTAAAGGATTTGATGGGTACCTGGCGGGGAGAGAGACTCACAAGGGGAGCAGGATCCTTGCAGTTTATCAGGAGCATTCTAAATTTAAATGGATGCCTCTTAAAAGGCATTAAAGTCACCAAGCTCCCTCTTCCCACACGCTGCAGCCACTTTTCCCACCCACGATAGATTCTGGGCCTAAAATCTAAAATCCTAGGAGATTTGATTTAAGCCTGGGCACAGCAGCGGTTGAGAACGATCATTTACATTTGTCACCTGGCCTGAGGGCAAACCTCCTTCAAACTAAAACTGAAAAGGTTGCCCTTGGCTCAGAAGCAGATACCCTGAGTACCTCGAGTCCCTAGCCCTGTCCTTGCTTATTTCCACCGGTAGTCCCTTCCCCACTTCTTTCCTTGAAGTCATAACCTTGTCATCCACTAAAAGCCTGTTCAAAACACATCCTCCGCCTCCCCCCCGTAACCCCGCCCCTCGCTCTCAGTTTCTGTTTACTTTTTCCTATGGCCCTATTGAGTAAGACGATAAATAGGGAACTGCTTTGAGAAACAAAATCTCCTTCAAAGGCGAGCCATCATTACTGTTAAGACTACTGGCATGTTGAGGGAAGAACCAAGTGTCTCCGCCCTTTGAGTCTCTTCAGCATCCTGTGTCTTTTGTCGTATAGTAACCCTTACACTTTTGTAAAGGCCTTTCATGCGTAATAGTTGATCTTCCCAGCGACCTAGGAGCGAGGTAGAACTTTATTCAAGGTCACAGATAAGTAACAATGACAACAATCAATGAGAAAGCCAGAACTTGGACCCAGGTCTTCTCAAGCCCATTAGAGGCCACCGGAATCTCACCAACTGCATCAACTCTGGCAAGGGGCTCCCTGTGGCACCAGAATTTTACCAGCCCTGATGTCAGCTGGGTATATCCCGGAGCTCTATGCTGCTCTTCAACTCCCTCGGTTATTTTACAAGTGGGAAAATGGAAGCTCGAAATCTTGAAACACAATTTCCCAAAGCAGCTGGTGGCAGGGTGTCAGGACCAGAGTTTCCACCCAGCGCTCCAGAACCTGAGCCCCTGCTCTCCTCTGCAGGCCTCCCCCTCACCACCTCTCTCCCATATTGGGCTCTCAGCAGACTCTCTGCTCCTCTGGCCTCCCAGACAGGTGCCGGCCTGAACAACCTGGCCTCCCTTCCCCCACCAGCAGCCAGGCCTCTGACTTTAAATGAAAGGAGCTCATATTACCAAGCAACTGTTGTTTATGTTCAGCTGCTCAGGCTCCCTTCTCCTGCAGCCACAAGACACCCAACAGCTGTCTATTACTTCTGGAGGCCCACTAACTATAGTCCGCTCTTCGGCCAAAACGTCAGGAGAGAACCTAAGCGAAAAATACTAGCTGTGAGGCTAGATTTCTCCTGGGTGCACATCCAAGTGAGTGTGGGGCAGAAGGGGCAGGCGCAGGGTGCCCACAGACGCACCGTCCCGCCTGCCCCCCGGGGATGCCAGGGGTAGGCAACTCACAGGCGGGAGGCAGGAGCGTCCCCCCTCCAGTAATGCCACCACAAGCCAGACGGTCCCCATCCTCAAGGCTGGGAAGTGGAGTCTGTCTCCTACACAACATGAGAACAACCAAACCCAAGGGCTGGCCCACATCACAAGGGAAAGAAGCAAGAAGCAAGCAACAGGTATACGTGAAGTAGACCCTGTTAATACCAGAGAAGCTGGAAATCTGACAGAAATGTCAAGGATGCTGCGGCGCAGGGTTATTATCTATCTCCAAATACAAAGTGCGGGACGGCAGACCTTACTCTCCGGCTCTCCTTCTGTGGCTGAGCAAGAGGGAGTGAGGCTCTCAGTGCGGGGAGATTCGGGCTGGATGATAAACATCTACTGAGAGTGAATCCAGTTAGGGACTGGAATGTATGAGCAAGGATGGAGAGAATGGCTTTCTCTGAACATCGTTAAAGGTAACTGGAGCTTAGTTAGAGGCAGTGGCAGGAAAGAGAGGGTCCCCACCCCACCATGTGGATCTGTGAGCCCCCAGATTCTCTCTGTTTAAAAAAAAAAAGCAGTTCAGGGACTCCTGGGTAGCTCAGTCGGTTAGCGTTGGATTTCAGCTCAGGTCATGATCTCAGGACTCGTGGGCTCGAGCCCCACATAGGGCTCTGTGCTGACAGTTTGGAGCCTGGAGCCTGCTTCAGATCCTGTCTCCCTCTCCCTCTCTCTGCCCCTCCCCCGCGCACACG